CAGCCCGGGGTGGGGGGTCCCAGCCCAAGGTAGGGGGTTCCCAGCCCCTCAAGGCAGGAACAGCCCTCCCAGGTGGGTGCCGTGACCCCCGGGGCACTTGGGGGCTTGGGGGGGGTCTTGGGGGTCCCTGACTGGGGAAGCACGTGGAGATGGGGGCAGGTAGGTGAGGGGGTCATGGGTGACCACGTCTGTGTGTTCCCGTGTCCCTGTGCTCCCACATCCGTGTGCTCCATGTCCCTGTGTCCCTGTGTCCCCACGTCCCCATGTTCATGGGTGTCCATGTCCCTGTGTCCCCGTGTCCCTGTGTCCCCACATTCCCATGTTCATGGGTGCCCATGTCTCCTGTGTGACCTCAGGGGACACAAGCAGGGACAGTGTCCCTGACCGGGGTTTCCCATGGGGCTGAGCCCCCCTGGTGTGACCCCAACCCCTGCTGCTGAGGGTCCCTGTCCCAGCTCCTTCATCCATCCCTGTCCCTGTCCCAGCTCCTCCATCCATCCCTGTGTCCCTGTCCCCAGAAGTTCCATCCACTATCGTGTCCCTGTCCCAACTCTTCATCCACTGCCCAGTGTCCCTGTCCCACCTCCTCCATCCATCCCTGTCCCAGCTCCTCCATCCTGTGCCATGTCCTTGTTCTAACTCCTCCATCCATCCCTCCATCCCTCCCTGTCCCAACTCCTCCACCCATCCATCCATCCCTCCATCCATCCATCCCTCCATCCATCCATCCACCCCTGCCCCAACTCCTCCATCCCTCCACCCATCCATCCATCCATCCATCCCTGTCCCAACTCCTCTATCCTGTGCCATGTCCTTGTCCTAACTTCCTAACTCCTCTATCCATCCATCCATCCATCCATCCATCCCTATCCCATCTCCTCCATCCCCTGCCATGTACCCGTCCCCGTCCCCGTCCCGTGCCCCGTGGGCTCGGTGGGTGCCACTCTCGGTGCCCGCCGCCCCAGGGGGCAGGCCCGGAGGAGGGATCTGCTCGGCTTTGAGGAGGGATCCGCTGGATTTAAGCCCATGCTCCAACCACACCTTTAAGCTCTTCCCACCGTGTCCAGCCCCAAACCCTCAGAACCCTTTCGGGATCCGTGGGGCCTCCGCGTCATTTCCCACCCGCGGGTGCCCACCCCGGCTCCGTGCCCACCCCAATCCCGCCCGGGGGTGCCAGGGGGGGGTCCCCTGCCCGCCGTGCCCCACCAGGGTCGGGCTGGCCGCGCTCCCGCAGCCCCGGCCGGGCCTAATTAGGGGGTAGGAGCGGAGCGGGGCGGCATCGACGCCCAGCTCGGAGCCACTCACTCATGCCAAAGGCATCCTCCCCACGGGGAGGAGCGCCCCGGCCCAGCGTGTAAAAGGGCCCCGCGCGGCCCCGCTGCCCCGGCGTTTGGAGCCTTCCTCCTCCTCATCCTCCTCCTCCTCCTCCTCCTCCTCCTCCGCACGGCTGCAGCGGCATGGCAGGGCACGGCGCCAGCCTGCTCCTGCTCCTCGGGATCCTGCCAGGTACGAGCCGTGCGTCCCGGCTGGATCCCGGCGCTCGGGAGGGATCCCGGTGCACAGGATGGATCCCGGCGCTCGGACGAATCCGGGTGTTCGGATGAATCCCGGCGCTCAGAGGGATCCCGGCGCTCGGAGGAATCCCGGTGCTCAGGAGGGATCCCGGTGCTCAGGAGGGATCCCGGTGCTCGGAGGGATCCCGGTGCTCAGGAGGGATCCCGGTGCTCGGAGGGATCCCGGCGCCCAGGATGGAGCGGGTCCTGCCCCCGCACACCTTGAGCCGGGCAGGGGGCACCGAACCCACCGTGCCCTCCCTTAGCCCCGGGGCACCCACAGGGTGCTGAACGACCCCTTCCCACCCCACCCCGGGCACCCCCGCGGGGGTTTGGGGCTGGGAGAGGTGTCCCTGCACCCCGCGGGTGCGGGGGGGCTGCGGGTGTGGGGTCGGGGTGCGTCAGGGCACAGGTTTGGGGTGCGATGGGTTCCTCCCCCATCCCTGTCCCCATCCCTGCTCCCCACAGTTTGGGGGCTGCAGGTTTGGGACCAGGGCACAGGTTTGGGGTGTGATGGGTCCCTGCCCCATCCCTGCTCCCTTCAGGTGGAGGGCTGCAGGTTTGGGGTCAGGAAGTGCTGCAGGTTTGGGGCTCCAGGTGTGTCAGGGCACAGGTTTGGGGTGCGATGGGTCTCTCCCTATCCTGTGTCTGCTCCCCACAGTTTGGATGCTACAGGTGTGGGATCAGGGCACAGGTTTGGGGTGCGATGGGTCCCAATCCCATCCCTGCTCCCCACAGGTTGGGGGCTGCATGTTTGGGGTTCAAGATGTGTCAGGGCACAGGTTGGGGTGCGATGGGTCCCTGTTCCCCGCAGGTTTGGGACCAGGGTACAGGTTTGGGGTGCGATGGGTCCCAGCCCCATTCCTGTCCCCATCCCTGCTCCCCACAGTTTGGGGGCTGCA